TCCTCCTCCTCCTCCTCCTCCGCCAGCTCAGGGGAGAGGGTGGTCAGTGCCCGAGCCCAGATGTGCCCAGTCACAGGCCTGCAGTGCCCAGGGCGTGGGTCAATGCCCCACAGTTCTCATTCAGGGAGGACGTGATGGCGGTGGCACTCACAATGAGGTTTTGTCCTTTGGGCTGCACAGGCACTGCAGGCCTATGTGGACAGAGCAGGCTCACTGAGGCCCAGCTGTGCACTGACCACAGCCCCTGGGCCAGGCTGGGGAGGCCACCTTGAGCTGCCCATTCTTTTCCAGTGAGGTGCTGGGGTTTGTCTCCTCTGGGTCACCCCAGGACTGCTGAAGCCCAGTGGGATGGGACCCCCAATCAGTGAGAGCAGTGGACTCTCAGAGCTGCCCAGCCTGCACGCTCCACTTGGCCGGCGCAGTCCCAAGGCCTGAGCTCCTCCCTCTCCTGGTGGCCAGGCCAGGCCATGCATCTGCCCTGAGGTTCCAGGTATCTCTTTGATGGCGGCCAGTGGCACAGAGCCCCATCCACCAGGAGAGCTGGCCTGGCAGGGGAGTCATGAGACTCCCCTGGGCCGCTGGGCTGGGACCCACTGTCCTGTGCTGGGTGAGTCTGCGCCACGCTGCGGAGCTGGTTGGCCCCAGTGCCTCTCTGGCCCTGACTCTGCTCCTCGAGGGACAGGGTCCTCAGCAGACTGGGGAGCCCTGAGGGGCAAAGGCAGGGAGAGCTAAGGCTACAGTCCTGGAGGGTCAGAAGCGCAGAGGGGAACAGCGCCCCCTACTGTGTGGAAGGGGCAGGGTCGGGCCAGGTCAGCTGCCACCGGAGCTCTCCGATCCCGGTCCCGGGAGCCTTCTGGTGGCTGAGTTTCAACTCTGCCTCCCACTAGGCCCCCAGCCCTGCCTGGCAGTCAGCGCAGCAGAGGAGCCAGGGCATTGATGCCCACAGCGTGGCGTCTCTTCTGTCCCCACCTCAACCCAATGTAGCCCTGGGCCCCAGGTGTCACCTGAGCTTGGCGCCAAGGGTAGGGCACAGAACGCGGGTTCCAGGTCCCTCGACCCTCCACCCAGCACCCTGCGCCAGGGATGGGATGGAACCCAGGGTGCTCTGCCCACTGCCCACTTCCACACCCTTTATCTTTGAGGGTTCTCTCTGAGCTGCCTGGCTGTGACAGGAACTGTTGACCCTCCTGCCTCAGCTTCCCTCGGTGAGGTGTGGGTTATGGGTATCCTACCCAGCTCACAGCGCCCAAGCACACCTTGCACCTCTGGGGTCTGAGCAGGGTAGCCGGCTTTCCAGTTCCCCTTTTCCCACCCTGCCCGTCACGTGCTGGAAGAGAGGTCACTCAGGGCAGCCAGTGTGCGCTTACATCCGTTTATACACAGCTCTATACAATGTACAGAAACGCTATGTACAGGTATATTTATAGATAAGCTATATGAACCTCTCCTGTACAGCAGTTGTCGTGGATCTTTCATACATAGGTACAAAGTCACGGGAGTGGCACGAGGAGGCGGGAGGGGCTGGCTGGCCCAGCCGGAGGGCTGGCAGGAACCTGGACCAGAGCTGTGGGCCACCTGCCCAGCACGGCTGTGGCCTGGGGTAGGTCCTGTCCCTGATGCAGGCTAGGCCTGGGCCCACTCCACCCTGGCACCAGGTCTTACACCAGCCTGGGCGCTGGCAGGAGCTTCCCTCTTAGGGCTTGTCTAGTGTCGGGCTCTAGGAGCCACTGATTTTGTCTTGCTTCGGGGTGGGCAGGGGAGGGCGGGAGTCACAGAGGGAGACCCAGCTCCCGAGTGAGGTCTCGGACGGTGGTCCCAGCGTGGGGGAAGGGCGTCCAGGCCCAGGTACCAGTGATGGGGCCGGTCTGTGTCGGGGGACTGGGACAGCCTGGGGGTGCAGGAGGGACAGGCAGGAGGGACCATGCTCCAGGACAGACTCGTACCCTCACCTGCTTCTCGGTGGGCTGGGAAAGGCAGCCACAGGCAGGGGAGGGGCCGCGGGAAAGGCCCCCCCACGTGCACATGCACACACTGGCCTGTGCCAACATGCACGGCCTCCCCGCCCCGCAGGGAAGGACCCTCTCCTGGTGGGCACAGGGTCTGCAGCTCAAACCCCACTTCCTGCCAGAACAACACAGGGTGCCGGCTCCAGGGAGGGAGCCCAGGCCACGGGGGCTGGGGAAGAGCTGCATTTGGCTTCCGATTCCAGGCCGGGGCTACTGGGCCTCCTGGGGGCACACACAGGCGAGGGGCCCTGAGGAAGTTGGCTTGGGCGCCTTCTCCTCCTCTGGGGCACTAACTCTGCGGCCAGGGGTGGTCCTAGGGGTGCCTGTTACCCTTTGAGTGGCTGGGTTCCGGTCCCAGGTTTGGGTGCCCAGGACCACAGTAGGAGGGGTGGAGCTGGGTGACCCTGCCCGGCCTCACTCCTCGTCTGAGCACACGAGCAGTGTGGTATGGGCCAGGCCAGTCCGCTTCTGTAAACACAGCACTGCCGTCACCTTGGCAAGGCCACCTGAGAAGGCTGGCCAGCAGGCACCAGAGCTGAGGGCTGCAGGACAGATGCCAGGGGCCACTGGGCACGGCAGCCAGAGGGTCGTGGCAGGGCCGGCTGCCCACAGTGGCCCTGGAACAGGGGAGCGGGTGCCCCTCTGATGAACAGGCCTGCCCACCCGGCTGCCGGCCCAGCCACCTGGCTCTGGGGGTCCTAGGCTGAGGTAGGGATGCGGACCCCCGGCTCACAGGGGTGCCCCATCCTGAGGCCACCCAGCCCCCTCAGGGCCAGCTGGCCTGGCAGCAGCGCACAGTGCCAGCTAGCGTGCTGGAATGACCAGGTCATCCCCGCGGCCAGCGGGAGTGGAGGTCCGGGCCTTGTCAGCCGCCAGGCACTCCTGGCTGCTGAGGGCGGTGGGTGTGAGGTCCATGAGCTCGCCAGAGGAGCTCAGCGGGAAGGACGGGGACAAGGAGACGCCCGAGGATGGCTCCGCCGAGCCGGTGAACAGCCGCGGGGGCTTGGGCACCAGGTTGGGCTCGAACTGGGCCCGGAGCAGGATCTCCTGCTGGCTGGGTGAGCGGGGGCCCTCGGTGTAGTCGCTGGTGGGGCTCTCGGGCGCCACCATGCAGTACAGGTCCTGGAAGGAGCTGCTCTTGCTGTCCAGGTTGAAGAGGCTGTCGATGAACTCAGCAAACTCCAGCACCTGTGGGCTGGGCGAGTCCCCCAGGCGGCCATTGTGCAGGGTCAGCTCCCCGCCAGACGC